CGATTTAAGAGATAATCAAAATACATTGAACTGATAATGTTATATCAATATTAATCCAAAATTAATTATAGATTTTATTATTAATTATAATTTTGTTTTTTTTTGTATTATTAGTTTAAGCTTCTATTCCCCCCTCCCCGGGATATAACGGATCTGTCGAGCTGAAAAATCAGTTCGTTATAGTAAATATCCGCTATGATGTTATTAACAAAAATAACAATAGAAAAATTCCGTTCGGACTCATATTCTTTCTATTTGTTTATTTATTTTGAAACTTGATTATAATTATATTGTACAAGACATATTGTGTTCAATTGCATCAATTGATTTAATATGAAGTTAATAACAACAAATAAAACTCATCGTAAGAAAAAGTTACAGTATGAAATATTCTTTATATCGATTTTTTCAATCTTCATATTATATATTAATAATCAGTGAAGCCGGTTCATATGTTGTTATATCTTGATTTTCAATAAAATTTTTTTTCGTTAATCACGTTCACGTGATTATCTCATATTATTGAGTGTAAATTGTATACGTTTTCCGAGAACCCCTCTTGAAAATTTGATGGGGTTATAAAACGAGAAACCAATTTGTATGATTGATTGTATATGCAAGTAAAGAAAGAACGTGCATGTCGTGCATAAACTTTGTTTGACAATCCATTTGATTCATTTAATTAATTATGATAGTGACAAATGATGGCGATGGTATAATAATACCCCACAAAAAAACAAAAAAAAAATGCTGTGGCACCAATTAATAGGCGAGCCATGCATTTATGTAGATAATGTTTTAACACCTATTATTATTTAACTCATGATTCTAAGCGAAACACGCATTTTCTTATTTACTCATAAAGATGCGTCTTTCAAGACTAGTATAAATCACACGATTACATATAAAAAAAATCTTGTTCTTAATGCAGGAAAGAAATTAATTTGAGATTTTTAATTGGATAATTTTGATACAATCAAAGAGTTATTATTGTTTTTACGTGCAAAAGTCTTAATTAGCGTCACAATAAGGTGTCGGTCGGTGATTTGCGTGCGCATAAAACTATGAGAAAATGTGTTTATTTCGTCATGGATTACATAAATGTTTGATTCGCCCGAAAATATATGTATGAATGAATGTAACTAACATATCTGTCGTTATATTATTATTATTGACATCCAAGGTCGACGCACGGCCGTATTTACTATAATATATTTCTTTATTAGTTTACGATCAGATATACAGCATACATATATACTCTCGCGAGTATGAAAGCTGCTTTTTGTTATCTAGAAATATTAGTGAATGATCATACTTATTGTTATTGGCTTAAAAAACATGTGCGATGCTATTTAATCATTTACACACACGTTTTGTTGGGATCCGTTCCTACCAGGGGAGCCAACAAATACAGAGCGCATTGCATTCTAAGGAGCGAAAAAAACTTGCACATGAATAATGTCATTTGAATTAGTTTTCAAGAACAATACCACAAGTTTCAGAATAATAGTTTACATTATTGTACATTTTTAAGCTAACCTATCAATTTATTATCTATTTATCCATAGAGAAAACGCCCGAACATGTTCAACATAACACGATCTTTTTTATTTTTTAATATATTATATAATGAAAATCAAGTTTACGTTCTTGATTGAAAAAGAGAGCAAAAAAATACAAATGCACACAATTTCGTTTTGCTCACACGCGTGACCCATCTCCCCCTTTCCAAATGGCTTGAATATTTTTTTCAGATCCAACAAAAAAGCTTGCATACATACCATAACTTTTTTGTTCAAAAAAGCGAAAGTTTCTTTATTCTCTATATCTCAATTAATTATACGGGATGACATAAATTGCCGCATTTAGAAATTTTGTTTATTTTGTAATAAAACAAGTCTTTCTATTTGCCTGAAAGTGTAACACTCTTTTGTAGTAAAGAAATTGACAACATTTGTAATTAAGCAATAACACGCGCTTTAATTACGCGACGTAATTTTACGGAGTATAATCTTTTTGTTGATGTGTGTCAGTATAGTGACACGCATATGCTTTTGTCTGGGGTAATAATAGTAAAATAGATAATGACAAAAACACTTAATATATATATAACATTTGAACGAAGTGAATTGAATTGAATTGAATTGAATTGAATTGAGATAATGGATCGTGTTTCAAAAGTAAAATAGGAAAAAATCCCATTCAAATTGTGAAACAACAATGATATGGAAATGAAAAGGAGAGGAAATATCGAAATATTGGTGTAGCCCATTGTTCTCGCTTTGTTGTTCGATTCTTTTGTTTGTTTGGTGTTTGGTGTCGCAAATTCACACTCGCACTGAATGAATGCATTGTGTATATCATTTAGTATAATAAAATGAACTAAACTATACTTAATAGAGATTTTAAATCCTCATAAAAAAATATATATATATTGATTTTATATTAACATTTTATTTATTTATTTTATTTTATTTTTTCCCGCCAATTTTAAACCGTGGTGGCAGTTTTGCAATTGCTATTTTCATATTTAGAATAGGGAATATTAACATTAGGTTTTTTGTTTTGTGGCTGATAGGGAATGTCGGATCTAACATTTATTACCTCTTACATTCGAACAAATTTTCATTTTATTCAAACAAATATTCGTGTATAATCAATCATCCAATTTATTCGAGTAAATATTCTTGGGTTGAATTCCAAGTCGGATCTATGTGCGCTTGAAATCTCAATTCGCATTTCGATTACTCCAACAGAATTTTCTTGATTATATTTTTTTAAAAAATAACATTTTTTGACAATAATACAAAGAATAAGGGTATTACGCAATTTTCATAATACACGTATATTATAATTTAAATAAATTTCCTCGTTGCTATTAGGAGTACAAAAATTTCTCGGTCAAGGGTAGCTACTTAATTACTCAAGTTATTTCATGTTCTAATGTCTGCACTCCTAGTTGCTATGGTAATGTCTTAAATTTTAAAAGTCGCCGATATTATGAAGTATAACGTCAGAAAAACACAAATTTTTATTGAAGTTGTATTGATTTATCTTAAGATATTACGTGCGCCCCGTAAAAAAACATCAGTTTTAGCGATTTACATTCTGGTACTGGTAATTTAGGCGATAAAAATCCTAACTAAAAATGCTAGATAAAAAACATTGAGGTTTTTTACAGAGGTGCGAAAAAAGGAACATAAAATCATATGAGTCCTTGCATTTTAAGCATGCAAGTGAGAAAGAAAAAAAATATAAGGGAAAGCACAATTATTTTATTTTTTTTTTGGCTTTCGATTGGACTTTTACCTACAATAAAGTAATCTGAAAATTACGGTTTTAACGATTTCATGGGTGGAGAGGGGTACTTTATAAGGGATGATACTATAGAATTAATGAATTTAAAGATACTCGATATATATAACGATCCGGTGATATAGTGCAGATGCATTAAACTCTCAATAGGGTGAACTTGAATTCAAAACAGACTACTAAATCCTCTCAATATGATGAATTTATTAATAAACTCACGATTTTAAAAATTTTTCTCTAATAACCTAGACACATTTACTATAACAAAAGTGCCTTTGTAATGAATGCAATATCAATAGGGGAAAATTAGAAGACATACTTTCACACTTGTCTATCTGGAACAGTCAAAGTTTGGCTAATTATTCAAATTTACGTCAGTCTTGGTCTCGCTTTAGCCTAATGCAACTAGCAGAATTTCTTTAGGTAGTTCAAAAATACAAATTCAAGCAGATGCTGATTTTGAAAATCGCGGGTTAGCTATGATGCTTCTCTAAAATGGTTAGCCGGATCTTTTTGTCCTTGGTATAAACGGGTGAATGGTATACATTCATTTTCAAATATAAAAAATTTGTTTTTTATCTGGTATTTTATTCCAGATTTTAAACGAAGTTCTGGATACAGTCGAAACGGGATCGAACAGAATTTCCATCAATTAGAAACCTGCAATATTGCAAGCTCTCGTTATAAGCCAATCTCGACATAACGAACTTTTTGCTTGGTTTCGAGGTCCTGTTATATCGAAGTTTGCATTTTTCGGGTAAAATTGCAACTTTTTCCACTAGATCTTTGTTGGATCTGGATTATGTGTTGGATCTTTCCATATCCATGGGTACACGTAACATTGAAAAAAGTTCCCTTCCCTAAATTCGTGTAGTGAAGTAATATCAGGGTTGGTAAAATGTGGCTTACCAAATGTACTTGCATTAGGGGCTCGCTTTAAAGACAAGCTGCATTAGAAAAAGATCGGATCAAACGAAATTGATTTTTTTTCAAATCCTAAAAATAAAAGTTTGACTAGTTAACAGAATTAAAAACTTTTAAATTGAGGGTATACACTATGAATTTGTGTCATTATTTGATAATTATATAATACGCACATTTGCAACAAACTAATGGTTAATTTCAATGTTAACCGTTAATAATTAATGAATACGGTCTGTACGCATTTTGCTTTTGTTTGATTGTTAATATTAACTTTGGCGAGAATGATGCTTTATTCTTGTTTCGTATCTTCCGATGTACGCGACTTTTTCAAAGCAAGCACCGTAATACTGTGAAAATCATCGTTACCAATTATAAGTATATATTTTATTAAGTTAAATAAATGATAAGCATTATAATGCATGCATGCATACACAGAAAAAGAAGAGATGGAGGAAGAATGACAAATCCCGAAAAACATTTTTTTTTCGTAAGGATTATGTGCATCTATGCCATTTTTTTTGTTAATTAACAATTATCCAATGAGACGAGGGGACATGTTAGCTAACATTACACATTTCCATTGTTATGAATGGCAAAGAAACACAGGCGTCACATAACATTCACAAGCTTAATAGTTATGGGTACAAGCATCACAGGTATCGATATATACATATATATCGGCATTGCCCCGTGTCTCTCGGCTTTCTTGATTAATCCATGACGCCGCATAACAGAAGCCTTTGAGCAACAGACATTTCTTTCTATCACCAATGGTACACATATATATCTATGTACAAATCGGTATCCATTCCGGTTTGGATTAATTTGTCATGTTGTATTTCTGGATTTTCTAGTCTAGCAAATGTTCTCGTTTAGTTTTTGGATGATTATTTAATTACTCGAATTGTCCAAGTGCTATCGGATTTCTTGCCATTTTTCGTTTGGTCGTTTTTTTTTATGGTTACAAAGAAAAATTCTTGAATGATTTCTTTGTTTATTTTTAGGCATGTAAATGATAACGATATAAATTTATGAGAACGTCATTATTCAAGGACCAGAATCAAAAATAGAAAATCGTATAACTAAATAACAATCATAATCATAATCATAACGATAGTAATCATAATAATAACAATCATAATAAATAATACTAATAATAATACTAATGATAATATACTATAGCATTAATAAACTAATACTAAAAAGAAGACACATATACTGTAAAGAATAATACACAAACACACGTACAATGACAACATGGCATTGACAAAGAATTCAAAGATTCCAAGTATCAATAATCGAACAAAAATAGATACAGCATACAGAAACACTTTTTTGTTGGTATGCCGTACAAAAAGAGAATTGATTGTTCTCCAAGGATAAATCGAAAACGATTGGGAATTCTTTAATACAGCGTATGAAAGAATACACGCGAAAATAACAATGATGATCCATACTAAATTATAAACGCGTCAAGTCCCAAAATATTGTCTTTATTCATAGAGTATTGAAGTCATGATAATCTTATCTCGTATTAAGGGGTTCTAAATCCAATAAAAAAAGGAATCGGGAATAGCTGTCGTAGCCCAAAGAGAATGCAAAGATAAGACTCAGCATTTTTTTTTCCTTACTTGAAGATCAAAATATTTTGCATCTTGATGTTGATTTGAATCAGTAACAACTAAATGTAGAAATTAAAAATGCATTACTCTCGATCTGTTAGAGAAAAAAAGGAATTTACAAAATAAATAATAATATACAATGCCAAACTTCAGATATATTATATTTCAAAAAAGGTTTAAGAGAAAAGTAAAGCGAAATCAAGTGACAATCAGCCTGTTTGTAAGGATTACGATGATTGATTGATACAAATACGAAAAATAATAATAAACACGGAGACAGATACGCTGAAACAATTGCACACCCAGTGAAATTAACTCATAAAAGTGTGTACATGTTTATTTGTCAATCAATGCAAAACAGTTTTGATAGAACGTGAAAATTCATGTGTAACGATTCCCATGAACGGATAATTAGATTGTTGAAAAGAAAACATTATATTAGTATGGGAAGAAGAAAGTACGCGTATCATAATACCAATAAGATTTTACCATGATTTAGAAAAACCGTGATCAGCATTTTTAATTTGTTGGTCCTTGCTGTGAACTTTTGATCAACAAGATCACAAATAATTTGCAATTATTTGTACGCTATGAATTGCCATGCTTATTTTTTGTGCTAATTAGATATCCGTCATCGTCGAATTAGATTTCGGATTGCTTATCAAATCCTCCCTTATACTTGTTCTCAATGATGTTGGCCATGAGGCGAATTTCGTTTAGGTTTTGACAAAAGGGGCACGGATTCCCAAATGGGATTATGAAGGCGAGACAGGCGAGTAGAAAAGAAGGGATAGAATGGAATGAATCATGCTCAAGTCTTGCTGGTCCACTCTGAAAACAAGGATTAAATCATCAAACATGTTAACGATAACAGTATGTGACGCGTAAAAATCTATCGAATATATCATACATGCATATGACAATATGAAAAGTAATACATTATCACAATCAAAAAACAGAATACAAGCCATTTAATGAAGGATCAAACAAAACATCGCGTTTCTTTGTAACTGGTGTAGGAGCCGTCCGTGTGTGCTTTGTTTATCTTTATTGTAAGCATAAACTTACGAACTCATTTACCTAAGAACTCTAAAATCCCGAGGTTGTTATGCTTCTCAATGTAGACACGTAGAAAGAGAAACCAATAAATTGCACGTTAGACCGCGTCATTACGCGTGTGAGAATGCATTTTGGATAATATCTTGAACTTTTAGTGTTTGAACAACCCGAAGAACATTACGGAGAAAATGTAACATAAATAATCACAGCAAATAATAAATAAATTATTAATTTTCAATATCCGTTTCAATGTTAACTAATGTTCTGTTGTCTCACGCTTAGCTTCTTTTTTATTTTCACAAAAACAAGGTAGGGTTTGTGTCTTCTTTTTTCTTAATATCGATCAATATTTTGAATATAAGTATCGCAGGTAATAAAGTGTGCTTGCTTGATGCGACGGGAAAATTAGACATACGATTTTTCGACAAAAAAGGAAAACAATCCAAATAATATGCAAATGACAATGATACATTGCAAAAAAAAAAGAATTTTTAAGCTTCGCTTGCGTGGAACAATAATAAATAAATAATAGAAAAATCGCATCTTTGATTTGATATAATAGAATAAGATCCAATTAAATATCTTTCCGGTCGTGGTTGTTTCTTGTTTTGCCACTCAAAAAGAGGAACTACGGGAACGAAAAACCATAATATAAATTGGTATACATCAAAAGTAGTACTGTTTGTTCTTTCCGTTACATCAAGAAATTATAACCCAAATCAATAAACAATAACAAATAAGAATTGTAATTTTTTGATGAGCAAGCATACACTGGTATATATGTATGCCATGGGGCATGGGTTCAAGATTACTATCGTAAAGTTAACCAACTGAATATAAATAAACACCAATAATCTTATCTACGACTAGTTATGGTAATATTACCAACAATAATAACATCATAGTAGATAACAAGTCTAAAACAGAATTTAATGAATTCATGTCTCATTCTTATTACAATCTTTACATAGCTAGTGTCTCCACTCCTTTCTTGTTTTTTCTCCTGAAATTAATGACCGCTCTAACGTTCACCACAATCAATAAACTCCCACGACGCATCAAAAGGCTCCCAATTAATAACATGATTTATTCTACTACATGCAAGTAACGTTTCTCCAAAGACAAAGCAAAGCAAAATAAAATAAACAATAGGTTCCTAGTGCGCGCCATGACCATCTTTCATAAAACTAAATTAGATCCTAATAAGATGTACCGCATGCTTATATTATGACACCGAAAAGAATGTTTCGGCTACTGCTACTGGTGCTGGTGACAGGCTAGCTAATGGTAGTGTTTATAGGAGCGTTGCTCCTTTTTGGAAGTAACGCGTAAATTAATTGTAATACTGAAAACTTTAAATGTAATGTGTACGTACGTGGACATATCGATATAATGTAACGTCACGATTAAATAGCATATTTCTATGTAAAGATTATTCTACAAATTCGAATGAGAAAGAGTGAACGTAAGGTAAGTTCCGAGTTTAACAAGTCGCAGCCTTTTTTCTGCATACAGATGATTCGGAGAAGCTTTTTCGGCTGGCGTGGGTGCAATAATCAAAATCAGATAACTCATTCAATCTATTTCATATGCTAAATTGAAGGATTCAATTATAATGCACAAGCGTTCATTCAGGAATCATACACGTATAGTTCATTTATGCTAATTCCAAGCCAACAAACTGAGTTTTTCTTAGTATGCTAAAACAAGCAATCGAAGCACAATTATAATGAGGGAACACAAACAAACTTTGCTTTGATTTGTTCGCTATTCGTCTCTTGTCATTTAACACCTCCAATGATAATCATTTCGCCATTGACCGATTTTCGTTCGCGCTTCTCTTGTTACGGAATAGTTTTTGGTTTCCAGAAAAGACTTACTATAACCCATACAACATAATACCGATACTATTATTATCCATGCCTACGATTGCGGCTAATTCTTGATTGCATTGTGTATGTTTGTTTTTCCCTTCCGTCTCATTTCGCATCTACATGATTATATGATTATGTTATTACTATTTATTATCATCATTATCAAAAATAGGTTATTTGTGTGATTATTGATATCACGTTTAGGAAAGACTACATTACAATCGACTACGATAATGAATAATAAGAAATCTAGAATATTATCAAAGTATTGCGCATAGTGCGTGGAAAATGAGATGAACATTTGTTATTTCATTTGATGATAGATAGATGGCGGGTTTTCATATCTGTCTGTATGTATGTATGCATGTATGCATGCATGCACGCACGCATACATACATGCATGCGTGCATGCATGCATATAAACTAAGAGAGAATATACTTTAGAAAGTGGAGCATATGAAACTGAACTATGGGTGAGTGAATATAGTATGCTTTGTGTAATATCATATATCGTAAATGGATGGACAAAAAAAGATTAATTAGCCTACAGCCAGCATACTTGTTTTTCTTGTGTATATTTAAGCTGCGCTTTTATTCATTTGGATGATTAGTAGGAATGTTTTATTTGCCAAGCACTTGTTTTTGTTCTTGATCCTGTTTCGCGAAAAACTCATGAACGAATGGGCATTGACAAGCACACCACCTCTTTTGCAAATAATAAGTGTCAATGGTGTATGCGTTGTGATTTTGTGATTAATTTCGTCAATGGTTTTTCTTTTGCATTTGACAGATAAAAGAAGAAGTTTGATGTAATGATGCCGTAATGATGTTGTAGAAGCCACAAAAAATAAAACATTTCCAATGCTCAGTACGATTGATCTGATAGTCAAATTGTGTTGTTAGTAATCCTGTTTGTTGTATTCATGCGGATAAAACCTATTACGATTAATAATAATAATATTATAGGGCTGGTTAGCACACATAACAACATACTTTTGTACATACCGATACAGACAGACAAGATTATTGCTAAGTAAAAAATATTTGCTACGCCATCGAAATTACTGTTATTCGTGAATGTGTTTGTATTGCAGTGGCTTGCAGAGCAATATTTGGACATAAGAACACCAAGAAACAAGAAAAATGCAAGTCAAATATGTGCATGAATTATTTCTGTCCGTCTGTTTGATTTCGTATTAAATTTGATATTGTTCTCTAGGTTTTGGTGTTGTATACCTATATAGGTTGTATGGTTATAGGTAAACGAGTAATCACAAAATTCAAGAATTTCAAATTTCTTGTTGCACAGATTGTTCTTAATTGGTATCATACAAGTTAATCTCGGATTTGATCTCGATGTCATTATGGTGGTTCTGGTTCGTACATAGGAAACCATATTAATTGGAAAATCAAAGTTTTAAATTCAAAAACAAATATCACGGTCATTAATTTTTAATTTTATTTTGAAAATAATACAAGCGTTATGTACATTTGTGGATTAATAGAACGTAGGAATTTAAGAGTTAATTTATTTAATCTTATATATTATCATATAAATACGTCAAATAAAAAAATAATCCTTTTTTTTCAACAATGGCAAAAAAAAGGAAGTATTCATAATACTTTGACGTTTAAAAATGTAACCTTTTTTTCCCTATTGTTACTACTTGTATTATACCAATAAATCTGATAAATATATAAAAATCAGGAGACCAATCTGTTTATATAATCATTTTATAAGATTACGTAAGTATGAGATCGAATCGAATCGAATCGAGATTAATCACAATGCAATATATTTATTAGACTAATACATGTACATGATATTAATTAATCATTTATATTTTATTTACATGTCCGAGGCGTAAAAGAAAATCAAGTGATTTGCTTTGCATCTCCTAGTTAAAAACAAGAAAGACCACCAGTATAATCGCGAACGCGAAACGGTGAACGAGAATCAATAAGTCAATTAATTCATTTCCTCGAAATAACATCGGAAAAACTCGCACGCTATTCAGGAACAAGTATGTCTTTTTTTTCGCGGCACGTCATGGCATGTCCCGCGTGCAACCTATTTATTAAGCCATCAAAAGCAGAAAGAGTGCTGCGCGAATTCGGGATGTGAGGAAAGGTCATTCGCGTTTGTTTATTTGTTATCGATTGCTTTTTTTTCGAACAAAAAAAGTTTTAGCCAACCTTCCAAATCTAATAATAATGATGATAACGATTATATTTTCCCCGCATTTTTTTCAACTAATGACAGTGATAATAAATAGATAACAATATAAATATATCAGTAATAGATGATTGAGAAATTTCTATATTTACAATGAGGATAGACGTTAGATTTGACAGTAACAATAGATAACGATAATAATAGTATAAATAAAAACGATAAATTAATTCCGTGTAATTTCACATGCAAATAAATAAAAAAAAGAACTTACCGAAAATAATCCGTGAATACATCTTTTTAGCTCATACATATAATAAATATATTATAACGATTAACTTTACATTTAAATGTAAAAAAGAAACGAGCGCCCCAGATCTAAAATAATAAGGTCGGTCGGCGGTAAAAAAGCCTACATAACTTTTTTATTTAATACTTTGATTTCTCTCTTAAATGTACTCTTATTTTTTATATTACATGTGATGAAACTTTGTTAAAGGATGACACAACGGGGGCTTCTCTTATTATAACGATAATAATGATTATGGGGAATGACCCATATATGAAAGATAATGTGAGCAATCAACCGACGATTCACATGATCTTACTGGCTGCGTATAAATCATTATCAGCAGTATATTTCTCTTTTTTACGATACGTATTGATGACACATCGATAGATAGTATCAGGTAATAATCAACACGTCAATGTCAATGCGACCACGGACTATTCGAGATACATGAATAAATGTATTTTTTGTCGGTGGGAATTCTCATTGGGAAAGAATAAGAAAATTTTATGATTATTTCCCTTTAAGATAAAGGGAGAGATATGTATGTATGTAAGTGCATGTTTGTGTATAAAAAGACAGGTAATTTCAGAATTGGAATCTTCAAATGGTAAATTCACCTTTGAAACAATATTGTTTAACCTTTTTCTTTTGCAAGTCATTTCTTTCTTTGGGTGATGCATCGAATTTGATAGTGAAATATGCGTCTATCTGATCATAATAATGCAAACTATTAGCGTTAGTTTCATTTTTTTGAATAAATAGAGTAAATTGCATAGCATACGATCATATTATCAGTTATGGAAGAAAAATTTTGACGCGGGTAATAATCCATCATGTAAAGTCCAGCATATTTGCCATTTATCTTAACAATCAATAATGAGTGATACGAGTACAAAAAACTTGATTCTGCAAATCTTTTTTAGTGCATATTTTAAAAAATACGCGTCGTTTTATCCTTAATTCTTTAAACAAGCAACATAATAAATCGGTCATGTTTACAGCATCAACATATTAATGGCCTCTTGACGTACATGGATAAGGTTATGTGCATTTGCCTCGTTTTTCTTTTCTAAAAATTGCTATTGTTGTTATAGTGGTTCTTTTTTTAATTCGTCATTTTAATATCGCTATTCCGTATCCTTCTCTTTTCTCTCTCTCTCTCTCTCTCACGTAAACGAGTTTTTGTGTACGATGCGTTAGATTAAAACTTTTACTTATGCACGGATCGCGGTTAATGTCTGATAAAAAATGAATGGAAAAAAATCTTCATTTGAGTTAAACGGATGTTTGAGCCCCATGAATTTCTTTTTTTTTTAATGATGCAAATGTTGTGTGTGTTCTCCTTTTTCTACACATAATATGAATCGAGTTGATTTAGTGATTGTTCTTTTGATTTGTTCCTTTCGCGTATTTCTTGTTCCCTCATGTTTTTATTGTCCAAATCTATTAATATGATAATCATCAGATACCCCACAAAAAAAAACACGTCGTGCATCGTCACACAAATAAAAAACCCACCCACCCACACATATATATATATGCGTATACGCAGTACTTGCATTTTTGTCATAACTATAAGTAGCATAATTTATTTTTTCTTGGCTTTGTATGTGAAGCGAAAGTGATAAGGCACAATAAAAATAAAAAAGAACCAAACAGGCTTAACTAAGTATTATGAGCGCGGGAAAAAAAATACACAATAGTAGTGTATGCCATAAACATTAAATTGGATGGTGCATTGCATATAAATTAATTGAACGAGTGATCAAATTAAAGTTTTATTTTTTGCATAATCTCGTTTGATCCATCCAGCCAGCCGAGAAGGAAATAATCAATCCCTATTTACTTTTGTTACGACATTTTTTTCGAACGTTGATTGTTCATCGAAGCAGTTACGTCACAAACTTTTACACAAAAAATCAAACAACAATCCCGCATCTTTTTGTTGTTTGGTTCTTTCTCATTTAAGAATCGCCGCAATGTCTTCTTGGCAAACATTTCCGTAAATGCATAAATGAAATTGAGGCGAAACTTTGATTTGATTTGATCCGCTAATTTAATTATACATCATTCATTCGTCTAGTCTTCTTTTCACGAACAATATTTAATTATAAAAAAAAAACAGGACATCATTATACTTCCAAACAAAAAAACGTGGAGTTTCTTATACTAGCTAATTAATCGATTATATTTATCTGAATGATTGATTTATCGTTATATTTCTGGAACCATTCTTCAATTCATCAATAATACAAAATCCAGAGGTTATTTATGTAAAAAACGTGTTTTTGTCATTGCACAATAGAAATTAGGAATTGGCCAAAATTATGGATCTACACGAATAGAAGATCCACGACTTTATAGACACAAGAGAATATTGTTATCATTTAGTGTTATAATAAAGTCATAATTCAAGTCAGATAAGAAAGAAAATAATTAAAGGTAAGCAATGTATTTTTATTTTGAACAGCTAAAATAAGTTCGGGATCATGTTAATAATTCCAAATATTGTTGTAATATAAATATTTAGTTATTATTTTATTAATTATATTTTATTGAATAATTCATATTATAATCTTGTTGAATATTAAATAGTATAATATTATTGAATACTAGCTATCTAAATATAATTGATAAATATAAATAATAAA